AAAATCTAAACCGCACCCTACCCTAATGTGTTTGCGAAACCGCCCACACGCGTGCAGTTCAGATCGGGTAGAGCAGTTTGGGTGGGTCGGATAACCCTATACCCAGTCCTATCACACGCCATCTGGCAATCACGTTTGCCCAGGCGAGAGCCACGTGTCTGCCACATCATAGACACGTCAATGACACATCAGGGCCACGTCGTCGACACGTCAGCGCCACGTTAGAGATGCGTGTCTAACACGTCAGCACGCTTATTGACTGGTTAACCTGTCGGGCTGACCCAATCCGACCCAGAAGTAGAGGGATTATTTGGTGCTACGCGTCTAAGGTACATCCGTAGATCTGAACCGCCGAAATTGTTTTGGCTAGATCTGAGCCATTTGGAGTCCGATTTTGACTATCCAATAATGGTTTCCAACTACTTGGAGTATTCTAGAGAGATCCGTATGTTCAGATCGTTGAATCAGAGTTTTTACAAAAAGTAAGAAGACGATGGAAGAATCCACTTCAACTTTAGGATCCATGATCAAGTTGAATCCTTCCAACTATATAATCTGGAAGCCGCGGATGGAAGACATCCTATATTATAAAGACCTGTTTGACCCTATTACTCTTAAAGGGGTTAAATCGAAAGAAGTGAAGGAAGAATACTGGAAAAAGATCCTAAAGAACTGTTGGAATTTTTAAAAAATTTTAAATTCTCTTCAAAAAATTATTTTTAAAATAATACCTCAAAACAAAAACCAAACAAGGCCACTAAATTGGAAGTGGCATGTCAATAATTAAAGGGGAGAGTACATACCCACAGTTTGCAGCTTGCACCGGTTGTCAACAAACTCGTTTGATGCACTTGAGAGATTAGCATGAACTTAACAAGTAAAATACGAACTACTTAAGATTCATAAAACTAGTTGAGATTACACACTCTCTTTCTTCAAATATACATGAATCAATTAGAACCCACAAACAATGAAGTATGAGTCCCAAAAAATAGGGGAACAACTTTAACGTCTTCAAGCATTGATTCATTGGTTATTCAAACTTCATTCATAAACAAGAAGAAGGTGTTAACTCCAGCCCACATGGAGGAGTAGTTGGAGGTTGGTTGGTTGGCTCTCCAAGTCAAGAAATAAGAAGGGAGATGGCAGGCGGCAGCCCTCCTAATTACTCCTTTTCCTTGACTTTGTTCTCTCTCCTTTGTGTGTAAAATTGGAAGAGGTGAGTCGAGTTAGATCATCAAGAAAAGAGAAAGACAGAACGGAGAGTGTAATCTATGAGTGAGAGTGCTATAGAGAGAGTGTGTGGTGTGAGTGTTGTAAACTCCCTCCGGGAAAAATTCTATAGTGGATATCTCTCCCATAGACGGAGGCTATTGCCGAACCACGTAAATATCTTGTCTCATTTCTGTGTGTGATTGATTTCTGGTGTGCCTTAAACCTAACAAGTGGTGTCAGAGCCTTGTTGGTGGATTTTCGAAAAAACAGGGTGTGTTTTTCAAAACTACCCAAAAATCAAGTTGCTCGAAATTCATTTTTAAGTATACAAGAAAGAAGCTCTCGACGAGAGGAGACCAAAACTACAAAGCCGAGCTGCAGACAATCTTCCACACGCTCTCACGCGCCACCTAAAGAAGGCGCGTGAGTCTCAGTCTTAGACACGTGTTGCACGCACCGTTGACAGTACCAGCGCATCGCATTAGTCTCAGGCACGCGCCCTACGCGTGGCGAAAGGAAGAAGGAGAGTGGTGTGCGTGTGTTCGTGACGTCATCGCCACGTCACACGCCATCTGACAATCACATCATCGGCACGTCAACCCAGGCCAGATCCATGTGTCTGCCACATCATAGACACGTTAGTGCCACGTCAGCGCCACGTCAGAGGCACGTGTCTGACACGTTAGCACGCTTGTTGACTGGTCAACCTGTTGGGTTGACTTGACCCGACCCGGAAGCAGAGGGATTATCCGGTGCTATGCGGCTAAGGTGCATCTACAGATCTGAGCCGTCGAAATTATTTTGGTTAGATCTTAGCCATTTGAAGTCTGATTTTGACGATCCAATAATGGTTTCCAACTGTTTGGAGTATTCTAGAGAGAACCGTACGGTCATATCGTTAAATCAAAGTTTCTCTAAAAAGTAAGAAGACGAAGGAAGATTCTACTTAGACTTCAAGATCCATGATCAAGTTGAATCGCTCCAACTATGCAATACGGAAGCCGCGGATGGAAGGCATTCTATATTATAAAGACCCGTTTGACCCTATTGCTCTAAAAGGGGTTAAACCTAAAGAAGTGAAGGATGAAGATTGGATAAAGATCTTAAAGAACTGAGGGAATTTTTAAAAAATTTTAAATTCTCTTCAAAAAATTATTTTGAAATAATACCTCAAAACAAAAACCAAACAAGGCCACTAAATTGGAAGTGGCATTTAAATAATTGAAGGGGAGAGTACATACCCACAGTTTGCAGCTTGCACCGGTTGTCAATAAACTCATTTGATGCACTCGAGAGATTAGCATGAACTTGACAAGTAAAATACGAACTACTTAGGATTCATAAAACTAGTTGAGATTACACACTCCCTTCCTGCAAATATACATGAATCAATTAAAACCCACAAACAATGAAGAATGAGTCCCGAAAAATAGGGGAACAACTTTAATGTCTTCAAGAATTGATTCATTGGTTATTCAAACTTCATCTATAAACAAGAAGAAGCTGTTAACTCCAGCCCCTTGGAGGAGTAGTTAGAGGTTGGCTGGGTGGCTCTCCAAGTCAAGAAGTAGGAGGGGAGATGGCAGGTGGCAGCCCTCCCTATTACTCATCTTCCTTGACTTTGTTCCCTCTCGTTTGTGTGTAAAATGGAAAGAGGTGAGCTGAGTTAGATCATCAGGAAAAGAAAAAGACAGAACAAAGAGTGTAATTTGTGAGTGAGAGTGCTATAGAGAGAGAGTGAGGTGTAAGTGTTGTAAACTCCCTCCGGGAAAAATTCTATAGTGGATATCTCTCCCGTAGACGTAGGCTATTGCCGAACCATGTAAATATCTTGTCTCCTTTCTGTGTGTGATTGATTTCTGGTGTTCCTTAAACCTAACAAGTGGTGTTAGAGCCTTGTTGGTCAATTTTTGAAAAAACAGGGTTTGTTTTTCAAAACTACCCAGAAATCAAGTTTCTCGAAATTCACTTTTAAGAATACAGAAAGGAAACTCTCGACGAGAGGAGTCCAAAACTGCAAAGCCGAGCTGCAGACAGTGTTCCACGCGCTCTCACGCGCCATCTAAAGAAGGTGTGTGAGCCTCAGTCTTAGACATATGCCACACGCGCTGTTGACAGTACCGGCACGTCACGCTAGTCTCAAGCACGCGCCCTACGCGCGTCTGAAGGAATAAGAAGAGTGGTATACGCGTGTTCAGTACGTCACCGCCACATCACACGCCATCTGGCAGTCACGTCATCGACACGTCAGCCCAGGCGAGATCCATGTGTCTGCCACATCATAGACACGTCAGCGCCACGTTATCTCTCCCAATGGCACCCTGGTTTGGCAGCCAAGGTTTCCTTGCATTGGCATCTCCTGGTTGTTAAGTCCTTGATTGTCCCACATTCCGATTAGCTGGTGGCTGATCTCTGCCGGATTAGGAATTTTGAGCAGCTTGCGTTCCATGAGTTGCCGCGCATTTGTTTCGTTGAGTGGCCTCTCCTTGATTGATGTAGTAACCTGACCTTTGAGGGCAATTGTTTCTAAAATTCCCTTCTTGGCCACATTTATAACACCTTCTAGCCCTTTCCCTTCCCTACCACGTTGTTCAGGATTGTATCCTTGTTGTTGTTGTGGCCCCCTAGCATAGGGTACCAAAGTACATGGGTCCTATTGTTCCTTGAGGGTCCTTCGCTCCTTTGCTGGTTAGCCCTAGACTGCTAACATTGAGTCCTTGCAGTGTCCATCTTCTCTCTTTCTAGAGTAAGAGCCTTATCTACTACCTGTGCATAAGTAGCTAGCTGCACTACAACCAACTTGTCTCAGATTCCCGAATCAAGTCCCCACTCAAAGCGCCTCACTTTGTCTGTTTCATTTGCCACTATAGCTGTGGCATGGCGAGAAAATGCATCAATCAATTGGCATACTGTGTCACAATCATGCCCCTTTGTTTCAGTTAGAGAAATTCTTGGATCATTTCTTGCCTTACGGAGTTTGGGAAGTACTTTTCCATAAACAATTTCTTGAACTGTCTACAAGATAGTTCTGCCACTTGACGGCTTTCCTTATTCATTGTCCACCAGAAATCGGCCTTCCTGTTAAAGAGAAATGAAGCGAGGAACACTTGGTCCTGCTTGTTCTGAATCTCTAACGTCTCCAATATTTTCTTCACTTGCCTTGTCCATGCAGCCATGTAGGGATTGGGTTCTCCGAAAAATTTTTGGGGCTTGAGTTTTTGAAATTTCGCTATTAATTCTACTTTGTTGTTTTCACACCTAGGTTGGTTTCTTAGTTCATTAGTAATTGCCCGAACGAAATTCATAATGTCACTGTTGTTGTTGTTGTTGTCATTGGATCTATTTGCTCTAGTTCTTCCTGCCATTTTCTGTACGAAGGATATTATTGTTGCACCCTTTATTTGTTTTTTATTATTATTATCATTATTATTATTATTATTATTATTATTATTATTTTCTATTTAAAGATAAAATGCAAGTAGAATAGTCGAACGAAATTCATAATGTCACTGTTGTTGTTGTTGTTGTCATTGGACTATTTGCTCTAGTTCTTCCTGCCATTTTCTGTACGAAGGATATTATTGTTGCACCCTTTATTTGTTTTTTATTATTATTATCATTATTATTATTATTATTATTATTATTATTATTTTCTATTTAAAGATAAAATGCAAGTAGAATAGTCCAACACACAAACTTTTAAATACTAGGATTTCATTAATGATAATAAAAGATCAGTACATTCATAAAAGAAAAAGGAAAAGAAAACAAACAAAAAAAAATATTCATTCTACCCCTACCTATTTCATTGTGGTATATATATATATATATATATTTACCAAAAACCCTAAGTTAGAAACTAGGACTATTATAATTACGTGATATAAAATTTGTTGTTGTCCTAACTTCTACACTTGTCATTGCCTAACTAAGCAAATAGGCACAACGTTGATGCACTATCTCCTCAAACTCCCATGCCTCATCGGGTAGCCCATAACACTCCCAGTAGACAAGGACCATTTGCTTCCCATTATGACCCACCATTCGTCTAATCACGCGGGTAGGGATCTCGTGATACGTGGCAGCTCTATAAAAATTCACCAATCAGTCTAGGGTTCGGACAACATGACCGAAAAGAGGTTGGGTAGTCCGAATATCTTGGAGTAGAAACGCATCACCCTTGTTTGCGACGTACTGCGGAGGTAGGTTCCATACTTGATAGAAATTATTGTCCAGATATTCTTTTATCTGGACTGGCCCGATAAACATATCCCTCCTATGCGAGCTCCTCCAATAGCACATCCTAGTAGGGGTAATCCTCACAAATACTGCCTTTCCATATTGCAGGACGGGTGGCACCATCATATGTCTCAAGGCTGCCTCAGGGCCGTCCTCTATCGAGGATTCAGGATTAGACTCCTCTATTTCCTGATTAGAGTCAGACTCAGGATCGAAATCACCCTCAGATCCTACTTCAAATTCTTCTTCCAAGTTCTCTTCTAGCTCTTCTTCTGGGTCCTCCTCTGGATCCTCCTCCCAGTCAATAGGCTTATCTAACATCTCAAGTTCTTCCTCCAACCATCCATTTTGATTTTCGTTTGCCATCTACAAAAATCAAAAATTTACTTAGTAACTAAAAATGCTTACTATAACCACTAAAAAGTTATTTAACAAGCAAGCTTAGGGTTTCGCAAGGTCTCAAAGGTTTCTCAACCTAAGCTTTGATACCTTGATGTGACATCCTAAGATTTAAGGACATCATAATAAGGTTTAAAACTTAAAATCAATTTTCTTAATTAAGGATTCTCATCAATGTTGCCACCAAATTTATCATCATCCATTAATTAACAACATAGAAACTAAAAGTTCTTAAATTACAACTCCAATCAAACTTAAAACTTTGTCTTAGTACACAAATATAAAAGGAAACTAGAGAAAAACTAGAAAACTCAAAAAAATGGTTCATGAAATTTTGGCACGCTTCAAGCTAACCAAGGTTGAATGTTGCCTTCTAACACCTCGGTGTTTCCTTTGGTTTCTTCGGTACCTGGCATAAAACACCACGGTAACGGGAATGCCAATAAGCAACGAGCTCAATAAGATACTACAACCCGAAAATACCCTCCCCGATAATAATACTCACAATTAATGAATACTGTGTAGTTAATAGAGTAACAAGCAGCATTTAATAAGCATAACAGGAATGTTATCAGTTGAAGTAATAACAATAGATAATAAGAACAATGGCAAACGGAAGCAGTATTTCATCATAAGGAAAAATGACAACTTTTCTTTTAAATTCACATAGATTTAGCTTATCAGATAAGTTTAAGTAACTCCCCTCGGAGCACTATTTCCACTCAACCGCTAAACAATGGCCACGGGAATTCTGACTCCCCCTTAGTCAAATATTTAAATGTTACTTACTGTAACTACCAATGATGCCCACGTACCAGGGTTACGTACCCGAGTCGTGACATCATGGCTTGCCCCAAGGGAACGGTCTATGTTGTGACATCCGCACCACCAACCTTATATCACCTACACCGATAAAAGCCGAAATACCTTCCCATGCCATGCTAGGGTTTGCAACTCACTTGCGTAAGATTCTAAGCCAGGCTCACCCCATCACTTTTACACTTTAATGTATCATTGGTTAAATTTCGTGTTTCTTTACTTCTTGAGATATTCACAATAATTCAAAATTTAATTACCAATAATGTTATATCAACTCATTAAAATCCTCAACCTAAAATATTACACATGTCACACAATAATAAACAAATGTACAAAATTTAAATAAATAATTTATTTAAACCATGGTATGAAATAAAAATGTAGATATCAAAAAGAAGAAATAAATCATAGTCACACACATGCATGGATTTTTAATCTACAAGATTAGACTAGCACAATATTAAATTTTGGTCCAAATAAACAATTAAATAGATAATTTTTTATTCCTCCTTAATCTGTCAAAAATTTTCAAAACGTATATCGCGCAATTAAAATTATAAATAAATTACTTATACGAATCTAAAATTCATATAAATCTACAGAATACTCAATAAACATGTTATGGTCATTTTTCAGAAAGCATTTTCCAAAGATAAATTATAAATAATTCTGAAAAATTCCAAGAAAGTTTATGACACAGGTTTATCACATTTTCTTAAATTAATTCCATACTTAAATTTATAAATCAATTCCATAATCTAAAAATTTATTATGAAACTAGACTTCTCAAATTTCATTTTTTGTTTTATAAATTACCAGATTTGGTTTAATATAGAATTTTTTTATGAATTTTCAAACATATAGTAAATCTGTCTTGCAGCTCCAGATTTAACTAAAAATTTGTATAAATTCGTACAAAACTCCATAATTGTTGAAAAATTTTGTGGATGAACTAGACATCATTATCAACAACTTTGTAGAAAAAATCATCTCAAAATTTTGAGTATAAAATTGTAAAAACAATTCGTACAACTAATCAGCAGATTTAAGGGCCAAAAAGAAATCTCCAATCATCCCTTTAATGGTATTAACTACACATGCAAGCCTATTTTCACAATAATGCCATGACTTTTAGACTATCAATATGTTCAAATATTTGATATACATATCACCAAATTTTTATCTATAATTATTGCTAGGATCACAATCTAAAATTTTAACCTTAAAAAATGAGTGGGTTGAGAGGGTTTTCTTACTTAATAATAGGGTGGTAAAATGGTGGAGAATTTTGGATTCCTTATTCTCCTACTCTTCTTCCTCTCCTACTACTAAGCTTAGTTGTTTCAGAATTTCCCTCCGATTTTGAGTAACAAATATATGCACTGTGGTAGGTATATTAATAGCCCCCCCTTCACCTGAGGCTCTCTTTCTTTCTTTCTCTTTCTCTTCATTCTAAGTAGTCACTTTCCCTCAATTCCAAGAGCATAATGAGCTCTTCTTCCCTATATTAAAATGCGAACAAACATGTGGCAAAGTTGCCACCGAAATTTGCAAAAGTTTAATATCTATAATTGTGTATTTGTGAGGGTTGCTTAAAATTGATACACTAAGATTTTTACCTAAGGTATTAAGTAAGAATAGTTATCATGTTGAATCTTAGTTAAAATAATTTATAAACAATAAATATTGAATACCCACAAAATTATTGTTCTTAATAATGTCTTTGTTAATGATTGAATTGAGTTAATTTAAAACTAACTTTTACACTAATATATATTTTAGATAAACTCTAGATAAAATTAATTTATTTATTTATTTTCTTTTAAGAATAATTAGATGCGGGTTTTCACAGTTTGTGACGTCATCGCCACGTCACACGCCATCTGGCAGTTATATCATCGATACGTTAGCCTAGGCCAGAGCCACGTGTCTCCCACATCATAGACACATCAGTGCCAGCTCATTGACATGTCAGCGCCACGTCAGTGCCACGTCAAAGACGCGTGTCTGACAAGTCAGCACGCTTGTTGACCGGTAAGGATGGCAATCTAAACCTGGCCTGACAAGGACCCAACCTCCAATCCCGAATTGAGCCGGTTTTTCCCAAAAAAATACCCCCGACGGGTCGGGAATGGTATTAAAAAATCAATCCCCGATGATTTTCGGGCCAGGGACGGTGATACATTTCTAAGCCCCGACCCCGGCCCCGATGTAAAATTACAAGTATATCCCTGTTTATATATATGTTTATGTTTAGGGTTTGGTTGAATCAATCACAACACAACATAAGAAGAGAGAGGTCATTGCTGCTGCTGCTCTCTCTCTCTCACTCTTACCGCCGCTGTTCTCTCTCTCTCTCACACACACGACGTCAATGACTGCTGCTCATAGAGGCAGACTTGAAGTTCCTTTTTGTCACCTAAACAAAAGGATTATGCTAAGTAGGAACTGATATCCTCCCTAGTAGTTGTATGTATGGCCACAAAATCAAATGCTTCATTTATGTAGTTTATATATTAGTTTTTGTACTTTTGCTGATTCTGAATGATCCCACAAATGAGAAAGAAAATGAAAGTTGAATCTCTGCATGACCTACATCAAAATGCTCTCTCTCTCTCTCTCTCTCTCTCTCTTTCTCTCTCTCTCTCTCTCACTCTCATTAAACTAGATCTAGGGATTTCAGTTTCAGATCTGAGTGTATATATGTGTATATATATATATATATGTATGCCCCTGTTTTCGACCTCTGTTTTTTTTTTTTTCTTCTTCTTCTTCTTCATGGATACTGAGTGTATATATCTATATATATCTCAATGTATATATGTATGTATCACTGTATCACAGTATTGGACAATCTGAGTGTAAATATGTTCTGTTACTGTATCAATCTGAGTGTAATATATATGCGGTATATATATTCGGGGATATATACGGGGAGTAGTCGGGCCGGGGCCGGGGCGGGGGCGGGGGCAGGGGGGCCAATGGACTCCCTACCAGGGATCAGGGCCGGAGACGGGGAATTTATCAATTTCGGGGATCAGGGACGGAAGTGTAGTCCTCGGCCCCGCCCCACCCCGTTGCCATTCCTATTGACTGTCAGGCTGACCTGACCCGACCCAGAAGCAGGGGGATTATCCGGTGCTATGCGGCTAAGGCACATCTGTAGATTTGAACTACCGAAATTGTTTTGGCCAGATTTAAGCCATTTGAATTCCGATTTTGACGATCCAATAGTGGTTTCCAACTATTTGGAGTATTCCAGAGAGATCCGTACGGTCAGATCATTAAATCAGAGTTTCTGTAAAAAGTAAGAAGACGATGGAAGAATTGACTTCAACTTCAAGATCCATGATCAAGTTGAATACTCCCAATTATGCAATCTGGATGCCGCGAATGGAAGACATCCTACATTATAAAGACCTATTCAACCCTATTGCTCTAAAAGGGGTTAAACCGAAAGAAGTGAAGAATGAGGACTAGATAAAGATACTAAAGAACTGAGGGTATTTTTAAAATTTTTTAAATTCTCTTCAAAAAATTATTTTTGAAATAATACCTCAAAACACAAACCAAACAAGGCCACTAAATTGGAAGTGGCATTTAAACAATTGAAGGGGAGAGTACATACCCACAGTTTGCAGCTTGCACCAGTTGTCAATAAATTCGTTTGATGCACTTTAGAGATTAGCAAGAACTTGACAACTAAAATACAAACTACTTAAGATTCATAAAACTAGTTGAGATTACACACTCTCTCCCTGCAAATATACATGAATCAATTAGAACCACAAACAATGAGGCATGAGTCCCAAAAAATAGGGGAACAACTTTAACGTCTTCAAGCACTGATTCATTGGTTATTCAAACTTCATTCATAAACAAGAAGAAGGTGTCAACTCTAGCCCACATGAAGGAGTAGTTAAAGGTTGGCTGTTTGGCTCTCCAAGTCAAGACGTAGAAGGGGAGATGGTAGGTGGTAGCCCTTCTAATTACTCCTATTCCTTGACTTTGTTCCCTCTCGTTTGTGTATAAAATAGGAAGAGGTGAGCTGAGTTAGATCATCAGGAAAAGAGAAAGACAGAATAGGGAGTGTAATCTGTGAGAGAGAGTGCTATAGAGAGAGAGTAATGTGTGAGTGTTGTAAACTCCCGCTGGGAAAAATTCTATAGTGGATATCTCTCCCGTAGACGTAGGCTATTACCGAACCACGTAAATATCTTGCCTTCTTTTTGTGTGTGATTGATTTCTGGTGTGCCTTAAACCTAATAAGTAATGTCAGAGCCTTGTTGGTGGATTTTCGAAAAAACAGGGTGTGTTTTTCAAAACTACCCAAAAATAAAGTTGCTCGAAATTCACTTTTAAGCATATGGGAAGAAAGCTCTCGATGAGAGGAGTCCAAAACCACAAAATCGAGCCACAGACAATCTTCCAGGCACTCTCACGCGCCACCTAAAAAAGGCGCATGAGTCTTAGTCTCAGACATGTGCCGCACGCGCCGTTGGCAGGACGGGCGCATCACACTAGTCTCAAGTACGCGCCCTACGCGCGGCGGAAGAAAGAAGGAGAGTGATGTGCGCGTGTTCGTGATGT